AGGCTCCTGGCTTTGGTCTGGCCCAACTCCAGCTTTTGCAGGCATTTGGGGAGTGAGCCAGCCAGTAGAAAACCTCTCTCTCTCACACAGATAAAATAAACATTTTTTAATATCATGCACACATATCATATTAACTTTCCTCTACAGATGAGGAATGGAAGCTCTAAGCATTCAGTTTCCTTCTCCATGCTCCTTGTGCTGGTAAGAGGTTGAGCTGGGTTTCAACCCACATCTTCTGATTCAAAATACCCTTTTCTTTTAGTGACACCATGAAAGCTGTAGAGCTCCTTCTCGATGTAATACATTTCGTTTTAGCCTAAGGAAAATATTGAAGGTTGTTGCAACTATAAGTACTTCGTATTTCCTCCTAAGTGCTCAATTGAGTACAGCTGGAGTTCAATTCCTCTTTACAATGGAAGTTTCCAGAAGGTAAACAGGGAAAGAACATATGCTACACTTCAAGCTGAGCTTTATCTTTTTTCTCAGAAATCAGCATGCAAAAGCCCTGGCAACATTGGGACTTCATACATATGGAAATCAGACTGGCCCCTCTTCCATTGCAAATAAAGTGGGTATTGTGATGGCCTGTGTTATTTCCTGGACATGGTGTTCCAGCTATGTTGTCAGCCAGCAGCACCAGCTCGCTAGGGCTGTAGAGCATTCTTCTAAAAGCATCACCCTGAAACCTGTTGCTGCTTGACCCACTATTCTCCAAATCATCAGCTGTCTAATGTGCCCCAAGAACCACCAGAGTAAGGACAAAGAAAACACTGCGTTACAGACTTCAGTTAGGGAGCCACTGAGCAGAGTCATTCCTTCTTACACTCAGGTATCTATGCAACAAGTACTTGAATACCTGTTAGGTTCCCTCCCTGTGCTAGGTGCTGGGGATATGCTACCAAGAGGTACAACCCCTATCTGCAGGTAGCTCATGTTAGGCAGGGAGACGGACATTAAACTACACACAGACATCGCACAAGTTCCAGCTGCCTCAAGCAGCCTCTCTTTTATCTCTTGCAACCTGGATGCAGGAGACAGCATCTCTTTTCTCTCCGATAAGTAAGTAGACAATCAGCTCTGCACCAAAAGCATTGGTGAACAACGTAGGTGTTGCCCAAGATTCTGTATAGAAAAATCTTACAAAATGTCCTATGCACATTCTGTGGGAGACTCCTGTACAAAAACCTTAGTGAGACACCACACCTCAGCAGGGACTGCAAACTCTCTTAGAAAGGGCGTGACTACCCCCTCCCCCCACTCCAATCTGGGTTCTTCTCTGTCCTGCACCCTGTTCTGGACCTTGTCCTTGTGCCTTCTTCTTCCTGGGTTTTTTTTTTTTTTCTTTCTTTTTTTCCCTTCTCTGCCTCCCTCCCCCTCCCCCCCAATCATGGTGAGCGGTTCTGCTCTACTTGGGACTCTGGCTCCAGCCTTGCTTGCTGGCATCATCTTGATCAGCACAGCTAGGGCCCTGTAGCCCCTGGCATGCAGCTCCCTAGAAGACAGCAGAAGGCCTGGGGGACGGGGTGTGCATAGCATTGAAAATCAGTTGTGCGCCACTGCCATAGGTGGTAATTATAATTGGGATCATTTGCTAGAGAGGGAGAGGCCCAGGTGCTGGGAGACCACGAGAGGTGGCCAGAAACAGCTGGCTGTGCTGCAGCACATAGCCCGTGAGGTCCTGGCCCCCCTGAGTCAGCCTGCTTCTCGTTAGGAACAGCCATGCTCCCCGACTGCACAACTCCCTGGGACCGAGTCTGTTCCTGAGTGACTGTTCACACGGGATGAGACACCGTCTCTCTCCACTAGGAAGTGGAATAAAACAGCTGACTCACATTTCACACTCTGTCTCTGCCAAGCAGAGACAATCGATGTCTCAGTTACTCAGATGCGGGCTAGAGATGAATCTGCCTTTTAGAACTGACTTGGCAAGGAAGTTAAAAATCCAAGGACCAGGAATTGAGGGAGGTACGCTGAGTCAAGGTTTGGGTCCTGGATGGGAGCCATTTCTCCATCTGGAGATCTGGTCTCACCTTAGACAAGACCCAAGAAGGTCCTGTTGACTGAGAAGTGCTCTCCCATCCACCCTGTCCTTCCTGGGTACATCCTAGAAAAGGCATGGATCGCAGTTATGCTTTGAGTCTGTGTGCTATCCTAGAACCAGAACACAGGGGCTTCAGGGGCCACTGGTGGATGCCACTTGCACACACTAGGGAAGTCCAGCCCAGGGACTCATCTGGGAACCAACCCGACCACCATGGCCAAAAGCAAGAACAGTCCTCAGATCTGGAACACCAGACAGATCCAGTTCCCCTGGGCTGCAAAGAGCTGGGAAGGAGGCAAAGACTCTGACCTGAGTGTTTGTGCCTTCTAATTACCTGCAGTGATTAAGAAAGGTAGCCAGCAGGATCCTTGCCTATTTTATTTTAACATTATTTCATAACTATTTCCCCACATACATTAAAAGGACCTGTGACTTACGTGCACACAATTACGTAAAAGTAGTTATGGTCACTGATCCTGGAGTATGTCCACAAAGAACACACACAAGCACTGAGAGTACACTGAACCATCTTCTTCCGCTGTATCATGACAGCGAGAAGGGAGCTCAAACCTTCTCCCCATCTCCTGCTTGGTTGCCAAACATGATCTAGTTGTTTTAAAGAGCAGTTCACCAATTTAAAAGTGGTTACTTTTGACCCTTTCCCTGGATAGTCCAAAAACTAGGAATTGACAAGTTAAACTATAGGATAAACTCTGTAAACTTCCAGTCAGCTCACATACATACATACATACTAAGAAATCCTCAAAACCAAGTGATGTAAGCTCTGTTATTATCCATGTCTTATAGAGATGGAAACTAAGCCTTGAATAGATGAAATAACTTGGACTGAATTATTCAGTAAACAAATGGTGGTAGTATGCTTTTAACCAAAGTCTGTCTGGGGCCAAGCTCAAGGGCACAAGCACTCCGTTCTTTCCTGGGAATGCACACAGATACACTGATAAGTCCTTTCTCCTGTTGCGTAGGCTCAATGTGTTGATACTGCACCTGGGTGCGCTTCCTTTCCACAGGTTGCTGTAAAGAGTGCAATGCTTCCCATCACTGCAACTCTTCACCCACACAAGTAGTCATGACTAATCCCTTCCCTAACCCTTCCTTCCCTGAGCCTAACTTGATTACTGTGCCAAATAGCAAATTCTAAATTCTGATTTTAAATTTACCATCTCCAGGAAGTGGAAAACTACCAATCAGTTGGGGTGATCCTGAAAATCTGTTCTGCCCAAACCTGACCCATCCTGAGTCATGAGTTAAGAGAAGGTGCAGGTGATGTAGCAACTGCTGAGTCACTAAGACATCACTAGAGCTGATCAGAAGTCTGTCCATTACCTCCTTTCCACTGATGTTAGGGGAAAAAAATTATCACAAAAGAGATTCAACCAGGGCCAGCGCCCCGGGACAAGGATATGCGGGCTTCCAATAAAGAAGTGATTTCTGCAACTTAGCTGGATTCCAGCCTCTTGCAAGCAGCTTGGTTACCAGGAGAGAGACCTCCAGGCGGAAGAGATTATGAGGTGAACTATCATAGATGGCAGCTGAGAGGGGAATGAAGAAAGGTGAATCAGGACAATTTCCATACCAAAACCCGTGCCCCAGGAGGACTCTGTGTGAGGCCCTGGAGAAGCCACACGTGTGTCCCAGGAACAAAGCAGCCTTCAGAGAGCAAGAAACACCCTCAGAACAGCCCAACAAAGGCCACTGTATTCATTTGCTCCCATAACAGGATACTGTAGGTTGACTGGTTTCAAAAACAGAAATTTTTTTTTTGACAGTTTTGAAGGCTAGAAGTTCAAAAATCAGGTCTCAAGTTCCTCAGAGGCCACTCTCCTTAGCTTATGTGGTCATCACTATAGGCACTCATGCCCTGGTGTCTCTTCATGTGTCCAAATTTCCCCTTCTTATAAGGATACTGATCAGATTCGATGGCCTAATTTTAACTTAATCTTATCTTTAAAGATCATATTCCCAAATGAAATCACAATCTGAGATACAGGGGTTTAGGGCTTCAATGTAGGAATTTTGATGGCATGCAATTCAGCCCATTATGGTCACATAAGGAGCTACTTGTCTTTCTCACTCTTACTCCTTCTCACCCTAGCCCAAGCAAAGAGATGGCAGAAGAAATAAAACAGTAACCCACATCATTCTCACTCCCTGAGGCCTAGCCTGGTCTGGAGGTTTGAGGAGGCAATGAACATTGGATGGTACATGAGATTCAGTTTTGAACTACTCCACGCAGGACAGAAAACTGTACCAACAAAAACTAACCAGAAATCCATGGTATCTGTCCAAGATCACATTAAAGAATAGGCAAGGGAGATTCCATAGACCATGACTGAGACAAGTGATTAGAGCAAAAAATAAAACTCTTTCACATTTCTGTTCTAAGAGTAGAATATTTAACAAACTGATTGTAATATGAACTAAGCTGGAAAGAAGTTCACAGTACATAATTTACTGATTACAAGGTGGAGGATGACACACATATTGTAATAACTACTTGGATTGAAGAATTGTGATAGACGTCTATTCTCTTAAGTGCCCAGCATCCCTTCCCTATGTTTTCTAGTTACATCCTTTCCTTGGCAATGAATTAGGCATATGACTCCAGTTGAGCGTCTCCTAAAACCCGACACCCTAGCTGGAGTAGTTAAAAACCCAATGAACCAATCAGAAACATTCCCAGGATTTTGGGCATTTTTTTGAGCTGAAAGAACCATGCTCTTCTCTTCTCTGGTCACAAAGTTGTAAGGCTCAGAGCCAAGAATTGCTGCTGTTCAGTCACAACTAACTCACAGAGAACCCAGTGTGGCAGACGGAAGCCGACATACAGAGAGACACAGAAATGAGATGAAGAGAATGATTCCTGCTGAGGTCCCCTTCCTGGCTTCACTCATCTTGAAGGCCAATTCTACCACTTTCATTCCAAAATGTTGGTTACCTGAGCCAATTACATCTTTCTGTTGGCTTAAGCCAGCTTCCGTTGCTCCTCTCATTTGAAACCAAAGAATCTGGAAAATAAAAATATGTATTTTATATGTATAATTGTGTTTCATGGAAAATAATCTGGAACAACACATAGCAAATAGTTGACTGGTTAATTCTGGTAAATGAAATACACTTTCTTTATGCTTTCCTCTATTAATTCCTTTATGTCAATTGTTTATAACATTTATAATTAAACATGTTTAGGAAAAAGAGATCCCAAGATAATTTAGTACTGATGATAGCCAAGAACTATGTATGAATATTAGCAAGACTGAGAAATACAGAACAATGAATATTTAGCTTAATAATTTCTATGTCCCTTCTCTGTGTAAAGTTGCTTAACACAGTTTTCAAAAGGCAAATGTAAAAGAGTGAAATTGACATTTTGAGATGGAATGATTGTTTACAGCCCTTGTCTTCACTGTTGAGGAACAGTGCTTTTTTCTTCTTACTATTTATCAAACTCTTTATTTAGTGTAGGGTTAATCTTATGAGTATAAAGTTAACTGAAATAGACCATTGTAAAAATTAAGAGACCGAATAGAGAGAAGGAAGAGAAATGGTGGGAGTATGGGCAGGAGGGAGGGTAGGGTGGGAAATTCCACTATGTTCCTAAATCTGTATATATGAATTACTGGAAATTTGGTTACCCTAAACAAAAAAATAAATAAATAAATAATAAACAAACAAACCTGGGGTGAGGGGGAGTTGAGAATTAGCATGAATAAAAAAAGAAAAGGCAAATGTCATCCCTACAAAGAAGAAAGAGATCATTAAGTCCGTGATGTATCAATTTCATATAAACAGAGAAAGGGTTAAATGTGTACTAGACAATCGAGCAGTATCTGGACAAAATATGGTGCATATGAATATGCCCTCCCCTCCCTGCCTAAATGCCACAGAAACCTCAGGATGCGCCTGTGGGGCTACACTTCCACCTGTGCAGACACTTCCTCTGACTCATCTGCTTCCAATGCAGCACCCAATACATTACTTGATACATTGTTGGTCCTCCCCATAGTTCTCTAGTGCTGCATATGAAATGATATCCAAGGCACTGCTGTGTGGTGTAGTGGGTTAAGCGGCCACTTGCAGCACCAGCATCTCACGTGGACACTGGTTCATGTCCCAGATGCTCCACTACCAATTCAGCTCCCTACTAATGGCTTGGGAAAGATGGCCAAAGTGCTTGGGTCCCTGCCACCACGTGGGAGACCAGGAGGAAGTTCCTGGCTTCAGCCTGGCCCAATGCTGGTCAGTGTGGCCACTTGGAAGGAGAACCCGCAGATCAAAGTGTCTGTCTGTCTGTCTCTCTCTCTCTCTTTCTCACTCTCTCCCTCTTCCTCCCTCTTTCTCTATAACTTCACCTTTAAAATTAACTTAAAAAAAAAAAACAAATTACCCCAAAATTTAAAAGAAACATTTATTATTTCAGAGTTTGTATAGGTCAGAAATCAGGACGTGGCAAAACTAGGTGCTTCTGACTCAGAGGTTTCTGAGAGACGACGGCAAAGTGACCCTGGGGCCGTAGTCATCTCAAGGTTCAACTGGTAGAGGGTCCCCTTCCAAGCTCATTCATTGGTTATAGGCAGGCATCCGGGTCTTCTCAGATATTTGACGGAGACATTAGTTCCTTAGGGCCTGCATTGCTTATAATGTGACAGCTCGGTTTTCCAGAACAGAGGGAGACAGAGACAGAGGACACCAAGATGGAAGTCCAAGTCAACCAGAGGCCATTCTGCCCGTGGGGAATATTTGGCAATGTCTGCAGCCATTTTTGGTTGGCACAACTGTGGAAAGGAGTGTGTGGATACTCCTGGTATCTAGCAGCAGGGATGCTCCTAAACACCCTACGAGGCACAGGGCAGCTCCCCACATCAAAGAATTCCTGGCCAAGATGCCGAAAAGACCGAGGTGGAGGAACCCTGGCCTTGAGTGTTGATTGTTTACAGAACACTTTGCCTGCATCATCCCAGCCCTCACGCAATTCTACGCGGCAATAGTCATCACCTCCCTTTGGCTGCTAAGGAAACAAATTTACAGGAGCCTGCCGATCTGCTCCGAGCCAGGCGACAAGCACTTAAAGAGGCTGCACACGACAGCGGGTCAGTCTCCCACCGCTGTCGGCCTCTTCTCCTGAGACGCAGCAGAGCAGGTAAAAAGAGAACAGTGTCGGGCGCGTTGAGGACACAGAGAAGCCCTTTCTGCCAGAAAACATTTCAGATGTCCCCTCTTTGGCAGTGCTTTTGAAATAGGCGGCGAGGCAGAACACAGACTTGAGCAGACTCCGTTCTCCGGGAGAGGCCAGCTGGGCGAGGTCCTGGTTTACGTCAGCGTCGAGCTGGAGCCGAGGCTCTCTGCGGTGCTGGGAACCCAGTGTTCCCACACTGGCCACACGCCTCTCCCATCTGCCTGGGGCCCCAGCTGAGCCCCCAGTGAATCACTGGTGACTGCTCAGAGGAAGCAGGCCAAGCGTCCCTTTCTTTTGCTTTCAATATGGCAGGCCTGGCCTTTCGCCTGCCCCGGTCCGCACTGGCAATAAATCATATAGTGACACCATCCGATAAATGCAGTTTATATTCCGTAGAACTTGTACGTAGAACTTGTGTTCCCCATCCCATTCACCAGCTAAGACTTTTGGGCTTAAAACTGCATGAAACTGCAGCAATTCTATCAATCTCCTTTCTACATCCTCAAACACAGGGTCTCACGGAGATCTTGCTGAAGTGTTAGACCCAGGAGGCTTGACGAGGCAGGAGAACATGGTGCCACTTGGCCTTGGCAGTAGGGATAAAGGAGTCCATCCCTGACACAGCATGTCTAGAGTCTAGGGCATGCCAGCGTCTAACCAAACCCATCACCTGGAGTCAGCCACAGGCAAAGAGGGGACCACATGTGGAGCCAAGCAAAATGCAGCTGGGACAGTTGATGTGCAAACGGGAAAGGGGGCAGAGCATACGGCTATTACTGAGCCAAAGAATTAAAGCTCTAAGTGCCCTCCATCGGGCTCTTAGGGCCTTGGTGGGGAGATCCTTCAGAAGCCTCGAGAGGAAATGCCAGCACTACTCCCCAGAGCTTCACAGCAAACGTGCAGATTCATCCCTAACAGATGATTCTATGAGCTGTTTTTCTTTGCAAATCTGGTATTAGGTCAAAATGGAATACCGGCCTTTCCTCACCCAGGTTGCACACTGGGAAATGCCAGACATTAAATAATTTCACCCCTGGGCAGGAGTCATGGTGCAGTGAGTTGAGCCACCGCCTGTGACACCAGCATCCCATATGAGTGACAGTTGCTCCACTTCCAATCCAGCGGCCTGCTCATGTGCCTGGGAAAGCTGCAGGGGATGGCCCAACAGCTTGGGCCTTTTGCCACCCACGTGGGAGACCTGAATAGAGTTCTGCGCTCCTGGCTTGAGCTTGACCTAGCCCCAGCTGTTGTGGCTGTTTGGGGAGTAAATCAGTAGATGGAAGATCTCTCTCCCTCTCTCTTTCCCTATATTTCCCTCTGTCTCTCCCTCTAACTCTGCTTTTCAAATATACCTTTAAAACAATAATTTCATCCCTAACTATGTTAGTATGTATGCAAAAATGATTTTTAAAAACAAAACCAATATTCCATCACCATTCCTAAAATATTTGAACAATGATTTCTTAACAACATTCAACAGTCAGTATTTACATTTCCCTAATTACCTTGTTTTATCTGTTTCTATATTTTGTTATTCTAATCAGGATTAAATAAGTAAAACTATACATTTTTATGCTGATTTGTCTTATTTATCCCGTTTCATTTGTCAGTTCCCCCACCCACTTTTTATTGGGGGGGTAGTTAAAAGGTAAGATCTAAGGCCTCTTTAAATAGAGAGGTTCCCCCCCCCCCCAAGGAAGCACAAGTTATCTCAATTCGTTTGTCAATTGGGAAAAATGTCTACTCTCTGAAAATAGAGGGGATATGGGATCAAGGATGATGCGGAATTTGCCTGCCCACCACATGGCCACCATCGCTCCTAAAACCTCCTCCACTTCCTTCTGAAAAGCCCCTTTTAAAACACCACTGTGGCTTACCTCTATCCACAGCCATGCGTCACATCTGATATTGATCATTCCACTTCCTTGCCAGCACAGTGCTCCTAACTGAGGGTGCAGGGGGTGACTTGTGAGTCACAGTCAACCCCGCTGGGCAGAGTTTTCGTGTGGACAGCTTCTCTTTATGTTGTTTCTAGAGGAGAGGCACATGCCAGGACGGGATGGCAGCATTTCTATTTTCAGGTTGAGTTCTCCTACAATTATCTGAGTAAACCAACTTTCCCATCATAGCGTAATAGCCATTTCCTACCATTCAAAAATGATAAAGAATGTTGTATGTTTAAGCTAACAAACATTTAGAAATCATAAACTGTAGTTTTTCTTCTCTTTCTCACTCATCAGGTTGCAATCACTTTACCTTGACCTGGCTTTCTGAGGGTCACAAGTCCCAACGATGTGTTTAAGAGAACTGCCATCCGACAGCAACTACAATGTAGTGACTGTGTCAGTATAAATTTTATTGTGGTGGCCGGCTCCATGGCTCACTAGGCTAATCCTCTGCCTGTGATGCCAGAAGCCCCGGTTCTAGTCCCTGCTGGGGTGCTGGATTCTGTCCTGGTTGCTCCTCTTCCAGGCCAGCTCTCTGCTGTGGTCTGGGAAGGCAGTGGAGGATGGCCCAAGTGCTTGGGCCCTGCACCCCATGGGAGACCAGGAAGAGGCACCTGGCTCCTGGCTTCAGATCAGCGCAGTGTGCCAGCCGTAGTGGCCATGTGGGGAGTGAACCAACAGAAGGAAGACCCTTCTCTCTGTCTCTCTCTCTCTCTCACTGTCTAACTCTGCCTGTCCAAAAAAAAAAAAAAAGAGAAAAAAAATTTATTGTGGTATAGTTTGCATAACATGCACCCATTATAAGGGTACTATTCAATTAATTTCTGTAAATGTTTATATTTGTGTAACTTCTTCTTCAGACAGGACAGATACAGGCCATTTTCAT